AGGAAAGGAAGGGAATTTAGGAAAATCATATGGTAAGGTGAAAAGAATAGGTTTCATGAAACTTTGGAGTGTGGACTAGATAGGAACTTTAGATAAAAAATAAAATAAAAAAACAGTCATCTCCAAAGAGGGGCAAGTGTTGCTTACACAGAGGAGAACATGGGAAGTTTTAGATGGTGAAAAAAGATATTAGATAAGATAACTTATAAGTGAGATTTAAACTCTAGGGTCCACCCAAGTCCAGTTCATCAGGGACTAATAAGGCTCTATGACATCCTGCCCCTCTTTCTCTAAGTGTGAGAAGGAGTTTAAGAGATTGTTTTCAAACAGCAGCCAGTACAGCTCATCTCCTTCTTTGAAAAAGTTCTGAAAGTTAACATGCTAAGAAAGAAAAATACGTTCCCATGTCATGGGCAATGGGAAGTACGATGAGGTGGGCATGAGGCTTCTTATTGACAAAGAGCTCTTCCTTTAACTCTTTCTTTCTTCCATTCTTCCACTTTCTTTCTTCCTTTCTTTCCATCTTTCCTTCCTCTTCCTTCCTTCCTTCTATTTTCTCTTTCTTTCCTACCTCATTCTATAAGGGTCTAAGATGAAATGATTTCATCACTGTTATTTGCCACTGCATTCTGGATAAGTCAGGTGCTGAAAGATGTTCAGGTTTCAGTTTGCTTGGATTAGTGTGTGTTTTTTATTCTTCTTTTCCACATCTCCTAATGTAGAAAAGTGCAGCATTCAGATGAAAAATATATGGTCATCAAGACAAGTTCTCCCATTGAAGAACAGGAAACTAAACCTGTGACGACTGTGAATGAACTCTCTGAGAACCAAATGAAACTCACAGAAATAGAAACCAGATGTAAGCAATCATGAATCCAGGGCACTACTCTGCCTCTAGTTTATTTTTAGCAGAAATGTTATTAAAGTCTTTTCAGTACCATAATTAATGTTCAAGAATTGCCATTAACTTCATTGTGTAAAATGGGATAAAAAATGTTTGCATGTAAGGTTAGTGGAAAATATTGATTTTTTTTAAAGAAGTTTGTTGTGTGTTTGGTGGTATTCTATGGTTATTAGTTTTCTCAGTTTGACCTAGGAATAATGAATCTCTCACCAGAATGTAATCCATCTTTAGATAATAGTGGCTGTTTATACATTCAGGGCATGTCAACTTCCTCAAGGCTGAGAAGTATCATAGCCTAATATAATATTTGGCTTTCAAGTTTTGGGTGTGCAACAAGAGGACCAACAGTCTTGTTAGCTAAAATCAACCCAAGGTATTAGAATTTGGACATGAACTTGGCCTGCCCGTGCCGGAGGGAATAAAAGTACCTTCTTTGAGGCTCCAAATAAAATCATTAATTATGTCAGCAGCTCTAGCGATAGACCTGGAGACACTTTGCACTATTTAGCAAACAAACTACCTTCTCAACTTTAAAAGTCTGGGGAAGATCTTAAAGATCTGTACTCACTGTACTTATACAGCCCTTTCCCTGCAAATCCTCAGACACTCCTTGATCCTGCGTCTCTTTGGTTTTACCACACCAGGGTTGGAATGAGATGAGGGAAATATGTGGTTATGATGCCCAGACTGTGTATTATAGACCTAAAAGTACATCCTGGTGCACCTCAACAATGAAACTCTTTTAAAACTAGGGGTTTTTGGAACCATATCAACCACACTTGAGTTGCTGCTCCATTTAAGGTCATCATAGATCCTTTAAAGAGCAATTTAACTGCTAAAGACATGTATGTTTTTGCGTCTTAAGAAGAACTTTACAAAGAATGTGACCTGTATTTACAGGACAAAAAAAAATTATTCTTTCCACAAGGACCAGCTTCCTTCATTTTTAACCATTAGAAGTATCTTGGCAGTTCTGTGTATAATTAACAGCTTAACAGGATGAGAAGTAAAAGAGCAAAGAGCAACAAAATTCTGCTAAGGTCAGTTTAAATTTTCTTAACATAAGTACTTCCCACATAATAATTGATCTCAGTATATTATGATGCATTTCTCCCCTCATTTACCAGTCTCTGGGAAGTGAAACACAAATGAAATGGAGAAATATCTTTAGGAGAGCATGTAACACCATGCAGTAAACATTAAAAAGAGCCTTTTGAGACTGAATGAGACACAGATGCCACCCAAATCCGCTACAATTTTTAAAAGAATATGCTTTATGAAAGGTTCCCAGATCAAAGAGCTTTACATAAGGATTTTTGAAAACAGACCTAAAATAATTTAAACTATGCTTTCATTTCTCAAAAGTAAAGAGGCAAATAGAAAGCACTGCAATTCAATTTGATTCCACAGATATATCCAGAAGATCTATCCTGGGCTCATAGCAATGTTGAGCACACTGTGAAGGTAAGCAGAATACAAACAAGAGATCTATAGAATTTTTTTTAGCTCATAGACAGTTATACTAATTGAATGCTTACCTCTTGAAAGCCGAAAAAACAGTCTAGTAGCTTTGACAGAGCTGCTGGTGGGAAGGATTAATAATCTTCCTCATAAATTTTTTGAATATAATGGATAAAAGAATGAGATCTTTAAAACTAATAAACACACTGCTGGAGAAAACTAATCTTTTAAATAAAGAAATGGAAGACAATTAGATTCACTTTAAAGGGAAATTTTTCTATTGGTATCACCATGGAAGAGTGGAAAATGCTAAGCTCCCAAGGTGATGGGGAAGAATCACCCTAAGATACATGAACAGAGAAAGGATAAAAGAATAAAATCAATTTATATCATTTTAATTTTTTCCTTCCATAGAAATGAGAGAAAAGAATTCATAGAACAAAACTAAACTTCTAATTGCAAAATAATAATAAAATATTATTATAAAGCATTTCATACTTTTCAGGGAACTGGGTACACATTCATGCCTCATTTCATTCACTTAGCGTCAGCGAGAGCGAAAGTAAAATATTTTATATTAATTTTATTGACTTGGGAAAATATTTAGAAGAATAGATAGAAATATTCCATTTTCCTCTTTTAATTATTTTTATTTTATAGACCCGAAAACTGAGAGAAAAGCTATGAAAATTTTGAATCATAACTCTTTATTTTTATCAGGCATTTTAAACGTTGTTTATAAATACACACACACACACTTTTTTTTTAGGTACCACACCACTATAAAAAAGAAGAGTCAAAGCAGCAAGTACTGATGCATTCCAATCTGATGTCTTGTACAGGACTATATAAAAGTTTCTGTTATGTACTAGATGTTCATTAGATATGCTCCCATAACTAAAGGCACAAAACACAAATAAGAGTTATAAATGTTAACAATATTTCGTAGTGTTTAAGGGAATTCGTTGTTCAGATGGAGACGGCAAAAGACAAAAGGTAAAATATGATCATTTGAAAGGCAAAATAGCGATGCCACGCACGCAGTTCGGTTTGTAGGTGCTTTTCACAAATGAGAAGCATAGCAAGATCAACTTGCTTCTCTCACTTTAGAGAATAGAGCCTTAAAATAGAAGGGAGGTAGGCTACTGGACAGGACGGACGGACTTTTCTTAAAGCACGTGAGATGTTGCCTGTGGGAGAAAGACACCTTCATGAAAGAGCTGATAGGAAACCCACAATTTGGACTCGGAAGTTTTCTCCATCTGTCTCAGGAATTTTGCCTCTGCAAGACCACGTCCCGCAGACGAACACGTCCAGCCCGGTGCCGAGTGCACTCGGGCTCGGTAGCTGGCAGGCTCAGGCTAGAGGATGTTGCGGCCCCCAGCGGTGCGGGGTGCGGGGTGCGGGGTGCGGGGGTATTGCGCCGCCAGGACAGCCGGAGCACGCGCGTTAAGGAGTCTTAACCACCATGGACAGCTCACTGGCTTCCCCCAGCCAACTCCGCGCGGTTCGCAAACTCCTCAGGAGCCACCAACGAGGTTGATTTTTGTACCCTGGTGAGATGCCATGCGTTCCACGGTCTACACGCTCGTCCCCCATCCCCCCTCCCGCCACCATCCCTTCCCCACAATGACCAACTGCAACCACTGAGCAGCTATATAGAGAGAGTGGTCTTCAGGAGTTAATAAGCACCTCCTTGCCCTCACTCACATCAGTCCTTCAAGGTGCCACGGGATTCTAAGAATCAGACTGCATATTGGCAGAGAAAACTTTGTTCCACGTCCCTTCATTTCCTCTCCTCGCCCGCGCCGCCCATCACCCCGCCTTGGCTTTGCCGATCGTGTTAAATGAAATAAAACAGACGGGGTCTGAGGCTCGGGCAGCGCGATCCGCACCGGTGTGAGGGCGGCAGGCAGGGGGAGAAGATCCCCGGGGCTCCGGGAAGAGGGGTCGTCCCAGTACACCCCCACGCAGTTCCCGACCAGGATAGCATCAGGGCCGGGAGCCGTACGTCTGCCCCACCCTTCTGCCCCCAACCCCCACTGGGAACTTATTGTCACCGTCTGCCAGGGACTTATGTCACATATGAGTCATTGATTGACCAGGAGGGAGAAGGAAGGGGAGAGCCCCGCTCAGAGGAAGTTCGCTCGCGCCCTCGGACCCTGTCCTCGGGTCACACTGTTCCCGAAGCTTCCTTTAGCCTGCGGCCAGAAGCGGGGCCCCACCCGTGAGGAGGGAGCGAGCTGGGCCGACGACTCTGACTCCACCGGGTGCGAAACCACTCACTCAATCCGGGGGGATGGGGCGGAGTGCAAAGGTCTGGATTCTACCACTCAGGACAGAACGGGTTCTATGCGACAATGGGGCGTGGGGTAGGGGCAGATTATCAGGAAGAGAAGCCCAGAGAGAACCTGGGGAACATAGCTAGACCCGCCAAAGGGCTCCCAGGCCTCTGAACTGGAAGCCTCAGACCCCCGGAACCCCTTCCCTAAGAGACGCACGCCTCTCCTTCCTGCGGCAGACACGCGACGAGTCCAGGGGACCCCAGAGAGGGAGCGTGAAACTTTTCACGTTTGCTTTCCCGCGGCCTTATTTCCGACACGAATCCCAGGAAGAGGCAGGCAGGGCCCGCAGACACAGAAATCAGGAGCGCAATGAAAAAAAAAAAGACACTACGCTTCATCTACGTGTGTGTCTGGATGCCTTTTTGCCCGAGAAGATAGGCACCCTAGTTCTGGTGGTGCCTTGGGAACAGACTGTGAACTGGCTGAGTTTGCAGGGGCCGAGAATGGTGTTAGAGAGGTAACAGCTTCCCAGGGCCCAGCGACTCTGGCAGAAGCCTCTTTCAGACAGCCAAGGCTCAAATTTTAAGACAGGACGATTCCGCTCACAGGGGAGCTGGGACGTCAGCCAAGAAGGCCGTGTGGCACCGCCCAAGATCAGTTTCAGGTTGAGGAGTCGTCGTCTGAGCCAGGTGGGACCTGAAACTCTCCCTGTGGTCTCACACAAGTCCAGAGTTGCCTTTTTCAGGAAGCTAAGAACTCGGCCCAGCCAAGGGCATTTGCGGGCATCAGTCCAGGAGACCCGGCTCCTGAGCTACATGTCCATTTTCTCTCTTTCACACATACTCACACACACACAAACACACACATGCACACACACACACGCATGCACATGCATGCACTCGCTCCATCCCTGGCCAGAGGACTACCCCTCCAATGTGTTTTGATGGTGATGGGTTTCAGAGGTGTACAAGTGCTGGAACTTAGAGAATTGGCCCTTGGAGACATGTTTCCTAAAGACCTTCTCATCTCAGGTTGGCTTAGGCCCCTCTGGAAAAACTGCCTCACTGCTAAATGTTCTGG